AAAATATAAACAATTGTATTTTAATTAAACATACTTTAAAAAACATGAAGGTCATTTCTACAAAGAGATACTCATATTTCCTATATGATCTAAACTTTAAAACTGAAATTTTATTTTACTGAAAAATAAAACTCCCAGGGCAGACACAGTGGCTCACACATTCATGCCTGACTGAGAGAAGAAGATGAAGAGTTTTGTGTCTGGAGGCCAGCCAGTCACACCTGTAATCCCAGTAAGGAGGAAGGCTTTAGGTTAAAGGCTCCCAGTCTGAAGAGAGAAACTTCCAAGTTTTCTCACTAAGATTAGGAATGAAGCAAGAATTTTCCTCCCACCAATTCTTCCTGACATTATGCTGAAAGTTCTAGCTAAGGAAAGAGAACAAGAACAGGAAAAAGGTATACTGACCGAGAAGAAAGAAATAATTCTTTACTTACAGATACAACTGTGCTGAAAATCAAAACAAATGGAAAACAAAGAAAGAACAAATTTCTTGGAAGTTGGTAAGGTTAGCAGATCAAAGTCTATTGCTTTCTATAAACAATGAACTAGTGGAATACAAAATTAAAACACAAAACCATTTATACTAACACATCAACCTCAAATACTCACTCAGGTATAAAGCAAACAAACTTCTACACAATCTACGAGAGCAGACAACCAAGCTGTGGTTTGAGAAAGAACTAAATAAATGAAGAAGAATCCCAAGTTTGTGGGCAGAAAGGATGCCAGACCTGCCCGCTCTCCAGGGAGTACTGCAACCCCAGCCTTTTGGTTGGGCCAGCAAGTTGCTTTGTGGAAAACAGCAAGGCAACTCTAAAGTTGGCAAGGAGAGACAACCAAACACAGTCAACATGACACTGACACAGCTTGATGTCAGGACAAGACAACAGAAATGAAGACAGTATGGAACAGGCTGCAACGGGGCAGCCACATACAAAAGTCACAAAAATTGACTTAAAATGGACCCTACACCTAAAATTCCCAGAAGGTAACTCAGCAAAAATCCTTGATGACTGTGGCACCTTTTCAGATATGACATGGATTACAGTTCAATCCATAAAATGAAAAATTGGTAAACTGGACTTAATTATAATATGAACAACATATTCTATGAAAGCTATGTCAAGAGAAAGGAATGATGGGCCACAGATGAGAGAAAGTATTCTCCAGAAATGCAAAAGATCTCCTAAAACTCAATGGTAAGAAAGTAAACAGCCCAAGGGAAAAAAAAGGGCACTGGTGGACTGATAGCTCACATCTATTTAGGAGGCTGAAATCTGCGGATAGAGATTCTTATCTCCAATTAGTAAGCACAAAGCCAGCAGCAGAAGTGTGGCTCAACTGGTACAGTGCCAGTCTTAGGCAAAAAAGTTAAGAGCAGAAGGCCCTGAATTCAAGCCTCAGTACTGGCATACACACACACTCACAGACACACACAAAGAAAATGAACCAGTGACCTTAAAAACACCTTATCAACTAAGATGTATAAGTAGATGGTGTGTAAATATAAGAAAAGGCATTCAACATCATATCAGAGAAATGCAAAATAAAACTGAGATACACTATACACAGATTAGAATGCCCAAAACCTTATCCTTGGACACACTAAATGTCAGTAGGAACATGAAGCAACAGAGCCAGTTTGAATACAAGAGGAGCTGGTCTGGGAGTGACTTAGGAAACCACGTAGATAGACCCCACACACTCCAGCAGCCATGCTACTTGTTATCCACCTAAGTGAGAAGATATCTGTGACCAAACACAGAGAAATTACACACCAACGTGCACAGGTGCCTAAACCCAGAAGCAACCAAGATATCCTAAAGCAGATAATGGTCTACCAGGTACCAGAATATGACTCAGCACCAAAAAGAAAGAAGCGGGGCTGGGAAGGTGGCTCAGTGGTAGAGTGCTTGCCTTGCATGCATGAGGCCCTGGGTTCGATTCCTCAGCACCACATGAGCAAAAAGAAAAAAGCCGGAAGTGGTGCTGTGGCTCAGGTGGTAGAGCGCTGGCCTTGAGCTGAAGAGCTGAGGGACAGTGCCCAGGCCCAGAGTTCAGGCCCCATGACCGGACCCAAACAAAAAAAAAGAAAAGAAAGAAGTTGCCAAGACATGGAAGGCTCCAAAGCACACATTACACATCCCCATGTGACAGACTCTGCATGGCTCCAACTCGATGACATTCTGGAAAAGATAACACTTGGGAGACAATGAAAAGACGGGAGTGAGGAGCCTGAGAGGGAGGCGGAGCAGAGAGGAATTTCGGGGCTCTGGATCACTCTGAATGACACAAGTCACACATTTGTCTAAAGGCACAGAACGCTCGACCAGCAGCAGAACTGCTGAGCCATGGACTCCCAGTGGACGTTTGTCAATTGTAACCAATGTAAGAGGAACAATGCACAAGTTTATAATAAAGGAAACGGGGGTGGGGGCAAGGCAGGGTAACAGGATCTATGACGGATGTCTGCTTAATTTCTCCATAAACGTAAAACTCTTAAGACACCAGGGGTAGGGGCAGCTTGGGGACAGAGACTTGACTTAGCGTACATGAGATCCTAGGTTCAACCTCTAGCACTGAAGCAAAGTTAATTAAAAGGAAGCTGAGGCAAGCGCCGTGGCACACGTGCTACCCGGTGGCTGAGGTGGGAGGGTGGGCTGGGCACTGTGGGGTAGGGCGGTAGGGGCTACACAATGAGGAAAGCCCAGGTAGCAATCCCAGCTACCTGGAGGTGGAGAATGAAGCGCTGCAGTTCAAGGCCAGCCCAGGTACTGACAGCACAAGGCTATCCAAAAAGCAAACTAAAAACCAAAGACTGCATGCACGGCTCTAGTGGTATAGCACCTGCCCAGGAAGCACAAGGTCCTGAACTACATTCTCAGTACAGTACACACATACACGTGCACACGTGCATGCAGACACACATGCATGCATACACATGCACACTCGTGTGCACGCACACACTAGTGCACACACATGCATGCCCGCAGATGTGGACACACGAAGATTAAGAGTCACTTTTCTGGTGCTGGAGTTTGAACTCAGGGCCTGGCACTTCTCGGGCAGTGCTCATCCTGTTAGTGACGCTGGCTTTTAGGTTGTTTTCAAATAGGGCCGAGCTGGCAGCCAGCCTCAGACAGACTGAGATCCTCCCTACATCTTCCCATGCTTAGCTGGGAATGATCAGCACACATATTATTACAGCAAGCTACTGGTTGAGATGGAGTCTCACTAAATTTTTGTTTAGACTGGCCTAGAACCATGTTCCTCCTCATCTCTGCCTCCTGGCTAGCTGGGATTACAGGCAAAAACCATTGTACCCAGCAAAGTCACTTCTTACTTGAAGTAAGATAACAGCGGGCAGATGTTTGCATACCTCCAAAACTTCTTATTTATGTCCAAGCTCAGTAGGTACCAGTGACATGCTCATGAACTATTTCTAGCCGGGATTTGGAACAATTCATTCACTCAGAATTCATTCACTACAGTTCCCGCTAGTGTGCCAGGTACTTGACCAGTGAGTACAAGAAGAAACACAGACAGACACGGTCACTTCTGCACAATAGACAAACACTACATGACAAACTAATGTGAGCCAGAGAAACCAGGGCTGTTCTTCTACTCTGTGCCCACCCTTCTACAGGAGACAAATGGAAGTACCTGGGCCTCCTACTATGAGAACACCAGCACACCATGACACCCGGCTGTCACCTGTGCTCACAACACCTGGACCTCCTCACTACAGGGACACCAGCACACGACGACACCAGGCTGTCACCTGTGCTCACAACACCTGGACCTCCTCACTACAGGGACACCAGCACACGACGACACCCGGCTGTCACCTGTGCTCACAACACCTGGACCTCCTCACTACAGGGACACCAGCACACCATGACACCCGGCTGTCACCTGTGCTCACAACACCTGGACCTCCTCACTACAGGGACACCAGCACACGACGACACCCGGCTGTCACCTGTGCTCACAACACCTGGACCTCCTCACTACAGGGACACCAGCACACGACGACACCCGGCTGTCACCTGTGCTCACAACACCTGGACCTCCTCACTACAGGGACACCAGCACACCATGACACCCGGCTGTCACCTGTGCTCACAACACCTGGACCTCCTCACTACAGGGACACCAGCACACCATGACACCCGGCTGTCACCTGTGCTCACAACACCTGGACCTCCTCACTACAGGGACACCAGCACACCATGACACCCGGCTGTCAGGTGTCTTAGGAGAAATCCCTCTGCTCCCAGTTCCACTGCTGCTCCTCCCCTGTTCCTCTCCCACCCTGCACCTCCCTCAGGGTTCTTCCAGGCCAGGCACACCAGCATGTTCACGGTCGCTGCTCCTCCCCTGTTCCTCTCTCCCCCTGCACCTCCCTCACCATTCCTCCAGGCCAGGCACACCAGCATGGACACGGTCGCTGCTCCTCCCCTGTTCCTCTCCCCCCATGAACCTCCTTCAGGGTTCTTCCAGGCCAGGCACACCAGCATGGACATGGTCGCTGCTCCTCCCCTGTTCCTCTCCCCCCCTGAACCTCCTTCAGGGTTCTTCCAGGCCAGGCACACCAGCATGGACACGGTCGCTGCTCCTCCCCTGTTCCTCTCTCCCCCTGCACCTCCTTCAGGGTTCTTCCAGGCCAGGCACACCAGCATGGACACGGTCGCTGCTCCTCCCCTGTTCCTCTCTCCCCCTGCACCTCCTTCAGGGTTCTTCCAGGCCAGGCACACCAGCATGGACACGGTCGCTGCTCCTCCCCTGTTCCTCTCCCTCCTCCCCACCCCCCCACCCCCGCACCTCCATCCTTTCCTTCCCTCTGCCTGTCAACAGGACCAACCTCCACCAGCTCAGGGCTCTCAAGTAAGTACAAGTGGGAAAGTCCTTTGTCTAGAAGGATCTACAGGACTTGCCCGCTAGTCAAATGAGCAGGCTTGTGCCTGGTGGAGTTATGAAAACGTGAGAGGCACTCTTACCACTGGTTCTTCCCCTTCCTGGTGCTGAGGCAGCGTCCACAGTGAGGTAGCCTCTTCCCGGCTTCGCTGGAGGACAGAGGATACAACAGTCAGCCAGGAGACAGGGCAGCGGCAGCCCCTGGGTCCCCACCCAGCTTCTCCCAGGGAGGGGCCAAGATCAGCAGTCAGGAGCAGCCTGTGAAAACAGGTGCTTTGTGGCTGGTAACTGTGTGACTTAGGGCAAGTGACTGAACCCCTTTGTGCCTCAGCCATTACCTCTGAGGCCCTGCACCACATATGCAGAAAAAAAAAAAAAAGCTGGAAGTGGCGCTGTGGCTCAAGTGGTAGAGCACTAGTCTTGAGGTGAAGAGCTGAGGGACAGCACCCAGGCCCAGAGTTCAGGCCCACAATCGGACCCAAAAAAAATTTTTTGAAAAAGAAAAAAGAAAATAACCCCTACACAGAGCCTGCACAGCATGATGGAAAATGCATGTTGGAATTACAAGTTTTCAAGGCAGAAGGGTCCACAAGACTCTGTCTCCAAAATAATCATGAAAAGGTTATGATGGAGGTACAACTCAAGTGGTAGAGTGCCAGCAGAGCAAGCAAGAGCAAGCAAGCACAAGATCCTAGGTTCAATCCCCAAGACCAGCCAAAATAAGGAAGAAATCTGATCCGCAGCCCAATGGCCAGACATGTGACCTACTTCATAGAAAAGACTGCCAATCAGACTAAAGAGCCAGGGAAATGCAGCACCAAATTATGACCTAAGATCAAGAGTTCTGAAACAATCAAATAAAATTCAAAATATGTCTGCCACATTATCTACCACAACAAAACCAAACACTAGAAAAGAGGGTTTGGTAATAAGCACGAATCCCGTGGCCCCTTCTACAGTTCTTTTAGATAATCTAAGCTGGCCAAGTGGCGTGTGCACGCGGCAGTGCACCGTTCGTGAGGCAGAGGCAGGAGATGGCCAGTCTGCCTGAACGACACAAGACCCTGAGTCAAAAATCTTTCTGGAAAACCATGATGAACACCAGACACCATGCTGAACATGAGCTACTTGACTTGTGAGTGAGGACTGGAAGGGAGAACTGTCCAGAAAGAAATGTGCATCTGTACATCACCTCTGTACATCACCTTTACAGTAAGAAATAAAAAATAACCAAAATGATGAAAACAATTTTTACCATAGTAATTTAAGATGACATAAAAAAATAAAGACCAGCTGGGCACCTATTTCTCAGGCCTATAATCCTAGCCTGTCATCCTAGCTACTCAGGAGGCTGAGATCTAAGGATCACGATTCAAAGCCAGCCCGGGCAGGAAACTAGAAGTGGCGCTGTGGCTCAAGTGGCAGAGTGCTCGCCTTGAGCTGAAGAGCTGAGGGACAGCGCCCAGGCCCACAGTGTAAAAAAAAACATAGCACTAGCAGGGCGCCAGTGGCTCACACCTGTAATCCTAGCTACTCAAGAGGCTGAGATCTGAGGATTGAAGTTCAAAGCCAGCCCAGGCAGGAAAGTCTGTGAAACTCTTAAGTGGCGCTGTGGCTCAAGTGGTAGAATGCTCACCTTGAGCTGAAGAGCTGAGGGACAGCCCTGGCCCAGAGTTCAAGCCCCATGACCACCACCACCAACAACAACAAAAGAGTACTGTTTATATGCAATGTAAAAAAACCTAGCACTTGTTACAGTTCTCACTGGACATCAACACAATTTCACAAGGCAACTTACAACAGGGAAACACCGTGAGGAGGGGATCACGGGTGTGCACTAGACACAGAGCCAGAGGAGCTGGAGCTCCTCTGTGCAAAGATGCTTGCTACTGCGGGGTTTCTCACTGCCGGCCTCATTAGCCAGCTCTACTAGTACTCAAACGGAAGGGTTAAAGTCTCTATACCATAAACTGTTTTTTCCCTTCAATTCTGTCAACTTTTGTTTCTTAAATGTTGGGGCTCTCATTAGGTTTACATTCATTTAAAGTTTTATATCTTCTTGCTTCGCAAATTACTTGGTTATTGTGAAATACACATTTCTGATAACACATTCTGTCTCCAGGTCTATTTTGTCTGGCCTTAGCGTAGCCCCTCCAGCTGTCTTCCAAGTTCATTCAACAGCTTCTTTTTGCCAGTCTTATTTTCTTTTTTTTTTTTTGGTTGGTCATGGGGCTTGAACTCTGGGCCTGGGCGCTGTCCCTCAGCTCTTCAGCTCAAGGCGGGCGCTCTACCACTTGAGCTACAGTGCCACTTCCGGTTTTCTAGTGGTTTATTGGAGATAGGAGTCTCACGGTCTCTCCTGCCCGGGCTGGCTTTGAACTGAGATCCTCAGATCTCATCCTCCTGTGGATTACACTCGTGAGCCACCAGCGCCCGGCTGCCAGTCTTATTTTCAATCTGTTTGACTCTTCTAATTCAAAGTGAGTCTCAGGTATGCTGAGGCATCGCACTTATGTACATTATTTGTATATGCCTGTCTTCAGCTCTGTTCCCAAGGGAAACTCAACTAAGACACAGGGCAAATCTTACATAGTAAAACCCACATGTTCTCAGTAGAGACTTCTTACCTTCCTCCTTGAATCTTTATCCTTTCCAATACTCCTTACTAAATTCTCTGCATGCCTGGAAAGCAAACATGATCAAAATCAAATTTTACTTTTAAGTGTAGACTTGTAAGGAGTAAGGAATTTTCCAGGCATGCGGGTAGCACATGCTTATTATCTAGCACTCAGGATGCTGAGGCTGGAGAGTTCAGTTCAAAGTCAGTGTGTGCTACATGCAAAAACCCTGTCTCAAAAAGCAATGAAAGGAGGCGGGCACCAGAGGCTTACACCTGTCATCCTAGCCACTCAGGAGGGTAAGATCTGAGGCCTGCTGTTTGAAGACAGCCGGGGCATGAATATCCACGAGACTCCTATCTCCAATAAACCAACAAAAAAACAGAGGTGTGAGTCAGGCGGCAGAGCACCAGCCTTGAGTGAAAAAAATCTGAGGGATAACACCCAGGCCTTGAGTTCAAAAATAAACAAATAATAAAATTTAAAAATAAAATATTTTCCATCTTAGTCAACTGCTAAAGGTTAGAAAAATCATGGTTTATTAGAACTATGAAAACTAAAATATTCCTAATATTTTTATTATTTCAGGAACAAATACAAAAAAATATCTTCAGCAGACAGAAGAATCTATGCATCTTGACCAACATTTGTATGCATGTCTGTACATCAATCCTGAGTACTAATTTATGTTTAATATAATAATGTTCAGTTATAGGTTCTATTCCCAGAGAGATACTCTCTATTTTTAATCTTATATGTTAGTTAAGATTTAAGGGTTTTCAAATTTTGAATTGATTCTCAATTTTTACAACTCACATTCTTCCCAATCAATAGATCACAGAACTGGGCATGTATTCTAACAGATTATCAGTTTTAAATCCAGTAATTTGGCTCCCCAGGACTAAGTTCTAGCCTTGTTCAAACTGGTAAAAATTTTGCGAAGACATTTTAGCAAGCTTGACTACAGTATGAAAAGGAAGTACAAATTACCATGGTCATAAACAGCAGATTAAAACCTAGTACTAATGTCTGGGGTATGGCTCTGTGGTAGCACATTTGGCACAGCGAGGCCTTAGACTCAAACCTTCCCACTGCAAAATAAAATACAAAGTATTTAAAGTAAACTACAACCTAGGGCTTCTGTACAGACTTAGTTTACATATGAACTCCAATCTGCAATCCACAGAGTAGGTATTAGCATCCTAGTTTCACTGAAAGATCACTCTTGAGGCCCACATCGACTCCAGGCCAGGGCCCCAGCGCCAGCTGGCCGGGACCTGTCTTAGGCCTGAAGGCTCTCTCTCTCCTGCTCACTCACCCACTACCAACACTGGGACAGGAGACTTGCACAGTGTGTTTTTTGTGGATATGAGCTGGAATGAATGTGCTCACACCCACAAGAGGGGCTAGACCAGCCACCTGCAGCCGTGACTTCAGGTGGGGTGGGGCCATGGCTGCTCCCATACCAACCAGTCTCCCGCAGAGTGAACACTGATTCTCTTAGTTGGCATGAGACAATATTCAAAAAGCTAAAAAACTTTTCGCCATTTATAATAAGTGTCTAGCTGCTCTAGTATACCTGAAGTATAATTTGGAGGAGTTAAGTCTACAGAAAACAAAGTACAACTATAGGTTATTACTATTTACCATCTGTAAGTAAGACTAATTTTTAAAGCATTCCATTAGAACTGTATTAAACTTAAGAGTCAACAGAACGTGTCCTCCTTACTGGCTGCCAGGCCCATCTCTTTTCAAACGTGCACCTCGATTTCTGTGTTCACCATTCTAGCAAATGAAGAAAGAATTCCATAACCATTAAGTTGTACATTGTAATGAATTAAGTATAATTAATAAATTTAAAAGCAAATGTGGACTTAAAAGTTAACAGCATCTATGCTACGAGTAAATGTTAAGATAACTATTTTTGCTAGCTATCTTTAACAAATTAGGTAACTCATGTATTTCATGAGTAATCACATTACATTAGTATGTAAAATAATTGTGCCCATCCATTTCACATACACAACATATTTAGTAACAAACCTAACAAGTGCCTCATAATACATACAATTATAGACTTTCAAACATATAGGATGCACCTATTTCACAGGCCTATTCTCCTATAGAAAAAAAAAATTAAACAACCTTCTCTTGAATTAAGTGAATTTAAATATAGGATTAAAACTATTAGATTATAGCGGGCACTGGTGGCTCACACCTGTAATCCTAGCTACTCAGGAGGCTGAAATCTGAGGATCTTGGTTCAAAACCAGCCAGGGCAGGAAAGTCCATGAGACACTTATCTCCAATTAACCACCAGAAAACTGGAAGCGGCACTGTGGCTCAAGTGGTAGAGCGCTACCCTTGAGCTGAAGAGCTGAGGGACAGTACCCAAGCCCAGAGTTCAAGCCCCACGACCGACAAACAAAACAAAACAAAAAACTATTAGATTATAAACCAATAAATGCTGGTGAGCTGCTGGAAAAGAGATCAAGAATTGGACTTCCAGAGGAAGCACAAAGAGGAAGTTTATAGTCCCGGCAGCCCTAAGACTGTGTAAAACCCTATCTGAAGAATAACCAATGCAAAAAAAGGCTGGCAAAGTAGTTCAAGTGGTTGAGCATCTGCCTAGCAAGCACATCTCCTAAATTCAAACCCCAGTACCACCACCAAAAAAAAAAAAGATTTAGATGCATTGATACATTTGGCCTGTCAGTTCTAACATTCTTAGAAAACAAAGATGTAGTTAAGACTTAACTAGCTGGATGTACAAACCTATAATCCTAGCTACTCAGGAGGCTGAGATGAGAGTGTCTTGGTTCAAAACAAGTCTAGGCCTGAGACTGTTATCTCCAATAGCCAGCAAAAAACACAGAACTGTCAGCCTTAACTAAAAAACTATAGAGCATGAGGCCCTGAGTTCAAGCCCCAATACTGGTACTAAAGAGCTTGTAACACTGCTCAAAAAGAAATGTACTCATTATCTGACTTGTGTAACTAGAACCCCTCTGTACACCACTCTCACAATAACAATTTTAAAAAAGAGCTGGAAAACTTAACTCCTAAAACAAACATTTTATTCATGAACAGGCAAATCAAATAATCATTCTCAGAAGAAAAAAAATGGCCAACAAGCACACAAAGCAACGTTCAGTCTACTTAGACATTAAGGAAATACGAATCAGGCCAACACTGAGATTCCAACACACCCTAGTCATAAGGGCGATCATCCAAAAAGCAAGCAGTAACAAATGCTGGTAAGAGTAGGGTGAGGAGACTGCCAGTGGAAATGTCCTTAGTGCAGCCACGACAGAAATCACTGTGTAGGCTCAGCTAGGAATGGAGCAGGTTTCCAGCACAGTTCAGGTAGCAGAGTACTATCTGCCTAACAGGCACCAGGTCCTGAGTCCAAACCTCAATATAGAAAAAATAATTGAAAATCCTACTATATGATAGTACCCCCTGACCTTTCCTACTATACTCCTGGGAATATAGCCGAAGGAAGGCAAGCCAGCAGATAATAGAAATTATATCACAGCACTATTCACAATAGCAAAGCTAGGTGATCAGCCTAGGTACCCAGTAATCAATGAATGGAGAAAGAAAATGGGATACATATACAAATGCAGTACTGCTCAGCAATAAGGAATGAAAATAGATGGAAGCCAGGACCAGAGGCTCACACCCGTAATCCAAGCTACTCAGGCTAAGGTCTGAGGATCACAGTTCAAAGCCAGCCTGGCAGAAACGTCCGTGAGACTTATCTCCAATAAACCAATGAAAAAACGCTGAAAGTGGAGCTGTGGCTCAAGTGGTAGAGTGCTAGTCTCGAGCATGGAGAAGCTCAGAGACAGTGCCCAGGCCCTGAGTTTAAGCCCCAGGACTGACAAAAAAAAAAAAGAGGTCACCAGTCCATGACATTAGAAAACATCTTGTCATATTCATCATGCTTAGCTATACCCTTTTCATCTCTAATTGATTTAACTGCAGAACTGAACATGTACCTCACTGGCTCAGTATATACTCATCATACATAAGGCCTTGTGTTCCATCACCAGCACAGAAAAAAACCATAAAGAAAAAGCAAGCAACTCCGAATGCAACATCTCCTAAAACAGAACAGTGTTCTTCTAATCATGGCATAGTGTATGCATATACAGAAATATCAGAATGAAACCCTGTAGTCCAACTGACTGATGTAAATCAAAAATGTGGGAGGGGGGACCAAGATGGCGACGGGGCAGTAGGGAAACGCCACAGCTCTCTCCAACCAAAAAGAGAGTTGAGTTCCAACGTTTAATCTCCCCAAGAGACCGACAACAACAAAAAGACGAACACTCAGAGAAAAACCAGAGGTGGAAAATAACAAAAAAAGAAAGAGAGGAAAAGAAGAATTTCAGAACAGAGAAGAGCGAAGACCCCTCCCCCAACCTTTACTGGCCGCGCGGCAGTGCGCCAAGCCGCCGGCCAGCCGGCCCGGCGGGGGCTGCCGGAGACACAGAGACACAGGGGGCTGCTTGCAGATCACCAGGTACCAGATTGCAGAACAGCAGATCGCCAGGAACAGAGAAACCTACCAGCCGGGAGTCTCCACGAGGATCCCACCCCCACCCCTCACTCTCCACTGGAGCGGAGAGGCTCCATCCCGCCAAAGCCGCCCGGCACCAGCAGCGCGACAAAGGGACCTGTCGGCAGACCACCCGCCCAATCGCGATAGCAACTACCCGGCGGGGGCCGCCCAAACCAGCCCGCAACCACCCCAACTGAACTCGGATTGCAACAACGACTGACGACCTACAGGGTGAGTACCCCACAGGGGACAGTGTATCCCTCAAGGGAGACCAGAGCTGGAGGGAATCCCCAGACCCTGACCTAGACTCCCTACCCCAACACCCGGACCACAGGACCCACTAAAACTGGGAACTGTTCGAGAGCTCCACCAGCCGGTGGAGCACACTCTGCTGGCCAGGCCAGAGCAAGAGCGCCCCTGGGTCAAGACTACCAACAGTAGAAGAAATTTGAACTGTGTCCTCCAGGCTGCAAAACCTAGGTGGTATACACATTAGCACAGGCCTAACGAGCGCTCCAGGCTGGGGCCGGAACCAGGCCCGGGGACCGGCGCCTGAACAAAGCAAAAAGGGTCAGAAGTGGGGCTGTGGCTCAAATGGTAGGGTGCCAGCCCTGAGCTGAAGAGCTGAGGGACAGCACCCAAACCTAGAGTTCAAGCCCACAACCAGCCCAAAACAAACAAACAAAAACACATCAGGAGCCCATAGCAGACTCCAGTATTTGGGAGAGTGCATCCAGAGCATCTGATCTTCCCAAGAGCACCCGCAGGAGCAAACACAAGCAGTCTAGGCTGCTCAACCCTTCCAAAGGCGGGAATTGCTACAGCAGAGAGCTGAGAATCCTAAGTAAGTCAGAATAGCAGCTGGAAATAGGCTCCCAACAGAATCCAGATCAGGCACAGACTCTCTCTACCAATACAGAATCAGCAACCAAGCAAAGACAGACACACCAAAACAAGATTGAAGAGCAGTCTCCTGAACCCCCATGCGAAAATCACAGAGAAAAATCACAAGGTTTACCACTACCCAGGACAGCAAGCTCACCTCAAAAGCCAGCAGCCACGCAGGGGAGAGCCCCAGTGGGAGCAAAGCAGGAATGGAAGACAAAAGCTACATCCAAGGGTTGCTGGAGGCAATGACTCAAGAAATAAAGCGAGAAATGGATCAGAAATTGAAAGAGCACAAGGATGAACTATCAAAAGAGATACAGGATATCAAACAAAAGTTGGATGCAAAAATAGAAGCTGCACAAACCTCAGTAAGAAGTGAGATAAAAGCCAAATTAGAGGTAATGCATACTGATCTCACCTCATTGAGAGGTGAGATCAGTACTCTGAGAACCAACATTGAATCCATAAAGGGATCCATTTCCTCCATGCAAACCACAATAGAAGCCACGGTCAACAGAGTGAATGAAATGGAAGGTAGAGTGTCAGATACAGAAGACAGAATACACCAAATGGACCAAAAAGTGACAGATATGGAAAAATCACTCAAATTAAACCAAAGGGAAATTCAAGAGCAAGCAGATAATGCTAAAAAATTTAACCTTCGCATAATCGGAGTGGACGAAGGTGAGGAATTCCAGAGCAAGGGAATACAACACCTATTTAACAAGATAGTCAATGAAAATTTTCCCCACCTCAAAAACGACCATCTTAACTACATCACAAAAGCTTATCGAACACCCAACAAGCAAGATCCCAGGAGAAACACTTCTAGACACATTATAGTAAAAATGATGGATCTGAATAATAAGGAAACAATCCTGCATGCAGCAAAAATGAAGAAGGAGCTATACTACAACGGGAAAAAAATTAGAATCACTGCAGATCTCTCCACACAAACAATGAATGCAAGAAAAGCCTGGGAAAGCACCATACGAGCCCTGAGAGCCAATAACTGCCAACCCAGACTGATATACCCGGCAAAGCTAGCATTCACATTCGATGGAGAACTGAAAACTTTTAATAGCAAAGAAAAACTAAATGAATACATAAACATTAAGCCAGCATTACAAAGAATTCTAAGAGGGGGGACACAACCTGAAGAAAGCAACCAGGAACTGGGACCTGCCCCAAACAGGCATTACTCAAAGTCTAACTGAGCAAGCACAGGAGGAAAGGAAAGAAGAAAAACTTAGGAAAACGGAATGGCAGGGACAACAATGCATCTCTCTATACTTTCTCTTAATATAAATGGGCTGAATTCGCCAAT